GGCCACGGAACTTCTGATCTACATTCCAGTTCCAGCGAAGATTTCACTTCCTCTGAGGGGCCTTCCCAGTTCTCCAGACTAAAGGGATCACTCTTCCCCTCTGTGGCCCATAAGACTTAGAACATTTCTTTACCCTGTGTTTACCCTACTGTATAGTTATCCTTGGTCTTGGCCTCTCTTTCTAGACTGTTTTCACCTCTATGTCCCCACCACCTGGCACAGTACTTGGCACACAGTAGGTAATCAATGTGTTGACTGGCCATTGAAGAAACCACTGGTACTTTGTCTGTTCTCCTACCAGGGGTGGGGAACTTTTTTTCTGTCAAGGGCCATTTGGATATTTCTAATATCATTAGAGGGCCATACAAAATTATCAACTTAAAAATTAGCCTGTNGGGGAACTTTTTTTCTGTCAAGGGCCATTTGGATATTTCTAATATCATTAGAGGGCCATACAAAATTATCAACTTAAAAATTAGCCTGTTTTATTTGGTCAAACATTTAATTAACTCACCCCTAATGTGATGGCTGGAACTGCTTCTCTTTGGTGAGGCCTTGGCAGGGCCAGACCAAATGATTTCGCGGGCAGGATACGGCCTAGCCCAACCTTACAGTGCTTGAGGTATTGGCTTACAACATACCCTCTGGGGATGCGGTGGGAGAGGCATCTGGCAGGGTCTGGCTGTGACTCCTGGTGGCTGGACAAGGGTTGCTGGCAGAAGCAGCTCCAGGTCGGACAAAATCCTGGTGTCCTGGTGTTCGCTGGGGTGAGGGAGACCCTGGTTCTGGGCAGCCATTGATCAGCACGATGGGTATGTCTACCATGGAGTTGGCGATGGATGGGGGACAGCTGCTGGCATGCTCCTTGGCCAGTGGTGGAGAACAGGTTGCTCTGGGCTGGCCCATGCTTGGGGTGACATTGCTGGGGACCTGGTTGTCACTGGCTCTCGTACACAGGGACGCTGGGCCAAGGCTGTGGAGGCTGGAGGAAGAGCTGGCAGGGCTTTCCAAGGACCTAGAAGAAGACTGATGGCTGGAGATGCTGGAGCGGAGGAGGGATTGGCTGCTACAAGGGGAGAGAGCACCAGATGGGCAAAGTGTTAAGGTGTTGAGGTGGACACTCAGGGGCCAGAGCCAGGCTCTGTCATTTAGTGACCTGGGTGTCTATGGCTTTGGTCAAATAAAATACTGCAGAATCCATTCCCTATTGCCCAGAGCAAAGGCATGCCTACCTGATCCCCAAGAGGCACTGACGGATATAGAAATGTCCCTCCACTGTAGAGTCTTTGGTCAATTAAAGTAGCTGAATGGGCTGACCCGCCACAGGTCATATTTAGGCTGGATGGATTCCCTCTGCTTTCCCACCAAGGCAGGTCTGACTGAGCTGTCACATTAGCCTCTCCATCACCCCATCACCCCCAGGAGCCCTGCACACAGGCTGCACCTGGGCTGGACCACAGCCACTCTAAAGCAGAGGGAATTCCCTGGCAGGAGTAGGAGGAGGCCAGCTCTGCAGGCAGCCAGGCCTCTCCCTGATCAGAGGCCCATGCCAGTGGGCATGGCTGTGGGATCCCAGTCTCCTTGCCAGGGGCTGCCTTGGCACAGTGGCTTTGGATTGGTGCGGGGTCCAGAGGTCCAGTGGCTTGGTCTTCGTGGGCAGGATGGGTGTGTGTGCAGCTCTACTGTGAGGCCTGCAGAGAACTGCCCTGGGCGAGTGTAAATAACGCCAGGCAGGTTTTGCCAGCAACACAGAGGAAGGAGGTTCTTCTTTCCTGAGTGGTTCATCCCAGGGCTCCCAAGTCTATTTACATCTCTTTTTTAAGGTTTAAAAAAACAACCCTTCCTCAAGATGGGTTGTATGAGGGCTGGAAAGGATTAAAGTGGGCCTAATTAATACAACGGTTCTGTTCCCAAAAGGTAGCTACAAAGTCAAGATTTTTGTATATTTCATCATACTCTAAATGGAAGGCTTGAGATCCAAATGGCTGTGATGGCATAGAAGAGAGCATCTTTTCTTTTATTTTTGGTGCACGCCCAGATTTTGCTCAGACAGAGCAGGCTGCCTTTCTACGATTTTTGTGTGTGTGTGTGTGTGTGTGTGTGAGGTGTGGAGGTGATGTCAGAAGCTATGGTGGGAGTGACCTACCTTCCGAACACGTAGCTGACATCAGTCGCTGGGCTGGCTGACACCACGGAGACCTGGCTTCCCCGCTGTGTGGCTGGGCCTCCCAGCCCCTTCTCCAAGCCTGGAGAAGCCACCAGTGGGGAACCAAAGCCATGGGGGCCCGAGGTCTTGCTCCTTGTGCAAGGGATGAAGATGCTGGGTGAGGGCGGGGGATGAGAGGATGGAGCCCCGGCTGGGGGAGGAGGGCGCTGGTGCCCAACGCCTTGGCTCCCAGAGAAGATGAGGCTTTCGCTGCTGCTCCGAGTCTCTCGGGGGACGTCTCTGGAAAGGAGGAGGCCGCCATTGCGTGGGGAGCCAAAAGGCGGGGTGACTGATGGGCTGGAGCAGTGCTGGGGGCCATCGTGACACCTTGATGTGGTGGAGGTCACCTCGATGTACTTTATATCTTTGGAGATAGAAGCAGAGCATTGGTGAAACCCGGGAGCCTGGACTCATAGGACAGGAATGCTGAAAGGGTCCTGAAGACCACTGGTCCCCCTCTTTTATACAGACAAGAAAACTGAGGCTCAGAGAGGAGAAACTCACTGGAATCAGAATTAGCACCTAGCTCTACCTTCAGGGCCCAGGGCCAAAGTCCCTGTCTATGTGACATCTTCCCTTGGGTAAGGAGATGCAGCAGAATGAGCGCAGGCCTTGGAGTCAGACAAACCTGGGTTTCAGATCTGGCTCTGCCACTTACTATCTGAGTGGCTTGACCAGATGACTTCATCACCTAGAGGCTCAGTTTCCACACCTGGAAAATGGGGTGACTATGCCAAGCCTCTTGATGCTATAGTAAGGATGAATGAAATGAAATGAATGTAAGGGGCTCAGCACCACACCTGGCAGATAGTAAGCCCTTAAAAATTGGGCACATAGTAAGCCCTTTGTGTATGCCCCACTCTCTAGGCTGAAAAGATTGCTTAACAGAGTGTGCCAGTCATCTCTTCTGATGCCTCTATTACTCAGGGTGTGTGAAGGCTGTTTCTATGTCTGTACCTATAGCAAAGGCTTGGCTGCACCCTGGAATCACCTAGGGAGCATTTAAAAGTCCTAACGCCCAAATTCCACCCTGCGCCAATTAAACCAGCATCTCTGGGGTGGGCTCAGGCCTCAGGTTGTTTGTTTAGTTCCCCAGGAGATTCCAGTGTGAATCAAACATCATCACTGTGGTCCCGGCCGGCAGCACACTACCGCTGGAGCTGGTCTGACTTGCAGAATCTCAGGCTCCCCCCAGGTCTGTTGGGTCAGAATCTGCAATTTTAGCAAGAACCTGGGGATCTGGGTCCACCTTAGAGTGTGAGAACTCTGCTTTAGAGCAGGAGCCCCTTGAGGACAGGGCTTGAGGCATTGCTGAGCTGTGGAGCTCCCTGGCCTGGCCGTGCTGGTAGCTTGTGTACAGTGACTGGTTATCAAACTTGGCCCAGGCTGCTGACTCACTGCAAAGCTCTTTCCTTGTCCCAGTGGGGGCACCCAGGACTCTTGTCCCCAGACCATGTTCCTCCCTGGAGTGGGGTGCCCTGTTGTTCTCCCCATGGTGAAGATGGACACCCCTCTTCCTGGCCTAGGGGAGGGGAGCTGACCCCCGTGCTGTTCCAGCAAAGGTGGAAGGTGGAGGTTACTGAGCTACTCGTTTCTGCAGGGCTGTGAGTCCTGCATCTGGCTTCCCGGGATGGAAACTGGGGCAGAGTCAGCAGGAAACTGCACCCTCAGCTCCTGTCTTCAGGCCTCCCACCCATTAGGGCTCTGGCACATGCACCTCGCCTGCTGTGACTATGGAGTCCCTGCCTGCCCCAGCCCGCTCTGGGGTAGGGCTTCTGGCTCTGCTCACCATTACTGCCTCTGTCTGAGCCTGCTTGGGCCAGGGTTGGGGTGTAGGATTGCATCAGATGAGGGGGGCTGGCAGGCTGACCTGGGCTTGCTGCTCCAAGGGTGGAGGCACAGGCCTGGCTTTGTCATCAGACAAACCTGGGTGTGAGTCCTGGCTTTGCCACTTTCCCGCCAAGAGGCATCAAGTAACTTTCCTAACCCCTCTGAACCAGTTTCCTCATTTGCAAAGTGGGGATCTAAAACCAACCTCCCACGGTTGTGGTGAGGGTAAAATACACGGATGAATGGAGCCTGGAGTCTGGCCCATGGTGGGCTTCTGGGAGCATCTTCTACCTGTCTGCCTTTGGGGGCAGTGTTCGCCAGATGGCTAATACTCTGGCTAAGGTGTGGGTCCCACTGCTGAGGGCAAGAGGAGAATATTTGGCACAATGTACTGTGGGCTCTGAAAGAAATGAGGTCCTGGAATGGGGTGGATTCTTCTGGAAGGTTGGCAAACACAACTTGTATTTTTATAGGACTTTATAGCGTTTACACCCATAATCCTTTCAAGCTTCCCAACGGTCCTTACGCCCATTGCCAGCAGACACTGCTTTTATAGAGGAGGAAACTGAGGCTCAGAGAAATGTGGGAGTGGAGCTAACATTTATTGCGCAAGTTTTAATAAGAGCTGGTATTTATTAAGTGCTGAGTGCCAGCACTGTTACAAAACGTGTTACCTGTATTAGTTTATTCAGCCCTCATGATAACTCTATTGAAGTAGGAAATATTAATTCCATATAACAGATGAGAAATCAAGGCTCAGAAAGGTTAAGTGAGTTATCCAATGCCACACAGCCAGGGAGGAGAGGAACCTGCCTCTTGCTCCTGTGCTCTGATTGGGGGCCTCTTCCTGGAGGAGGGGTTCCTTGGGACCCTTTCCCAAGGCCTTACCTTTTGACAAGGTGACTGGCTGCTTTGGGGAGGGTCTGTTGGTCTGAAGAAGCTCTGGGCTGCTTCCTTACTGGGTCACCCAAATGCTTAGCAAAAGCCTCGCTGAGGGGTGAAGGAAGCAGCGGGGAGAGTGCTGGAGGAGTCATGGAGCTGTGAGTCACCTCCTGCTCTTGCCCTGAGGTGGATGTGGCTGGGGGAGGTGGAGGCCCCCACCCCATCACCTGGTGCAGTCACTGTTTACGGGCCCATGGGGCAAGTCCGAGCAGAGCTCAGTGGATGCAGGCACCAGCACCAGGCCGGGT